GGTTCAAATCCCACTGAAGTCACTTTAGCTGCTTCCTCATTTCCAGAGCAGCTTCTATAGAACAGGCAATCCTTAGGCTGACCCCAGGATGGGCTTTAGTCCAGACAGTTCCCAGCGAGGGTGCAGGCAAGGGCTGCTCTGAAAGGCTGCAGTTGCCACCAGACCCTTTTGTCCCTCCATGTCACCTACCAGTGCTGTGCATCACTCAAGCTATGTCTACACACACTGTTCTTCTGAAAAAGCTAGGTAAATTGTGAACCCTAGTTTGCATAGCTTTGTCTGGAAGAAGCTTTTCCAATTTTTGGCCTGTTTACACTGGGCCAAAAGTGGGAAAAAAACCTTTTTTTGTAACATCCCTTCTTCTTCATAAAACGAGGTTCACAAAGGCACCAAAAACGCATGGCAGCTGTGTTCTCTGGACTAAAGCATTGTCTCTGTAGTGTAGACAGAGCCCTGATGTAACATCTTATTTCAAGTTTAGGTGCAGCATAGATAGAGGGGTGACTCAGAGTCCTTAGTGCTGCCTCTTAGACCATGGGACCTACACAAGACACCTGTGACTCAGCTGGGCCAAACTGGAGCCCTTAGGCTCAAGCCTACTGGGACCAGCTTTGCTTGTTTTCCTTCCACCCAGAGCCCCCTTGCAAAAAAGGGGGGGGGGGGTCTCTGCTCACCCTACTGAGTCCCACTGAGACGTTGAGCTTTTGTCCTGCCCCCCTCAGCTTGGCCTCCCTCTTCTGCCCCGTTCCTGCCTCACTTCCTCCTTGGGCAAGTCACACAAGGGAAGCAGCAGGAGGAGCTGGCCCCATACGCCAGCATCCGAGGGCAGGGGAGGCTGAGACAGAAGTGTCCATCAGGTGCCTGGCCTGACCCATCTGGCTTCCCCAGGCTGGCACCAAGGGGCATTCTCAGCTGATGTCACCCCCCACTCCTCCGTCGCATGTGAGTTGGGCTTATCCCAGGCAGGAGGAGCTGCACTTACCTGGGCACCTAGAGGAGCTGCAATAGGAGAGGATGCTGTGTTTCTGCCTGGCTTTGAACCAAGAACTTTTGCACGTCAAGCAAATGTGATAAACACTACACCACAAAAACACACAACTGTTCTTCAGGGGGTGGAACTTGTCTGACTGTTCTGTTCCTAGCTCTTTCCAACACCCTGCTCTGCAGAGGAGGGAATGCACCTTGTGAACACTCCACCTCTTGTTCTCAGGGAAGCCACTAACCTGAGCTGCCAGCTCCTCATTTCCTCACCAGCCCCTTGAGATTTGTAGCCCAAAGCTGGAGCTGCTGTGGAAGGAGGTAAAGCTACAGAAGCTGACAGGGGACAATCAGCGGGCGGAGGGTTATTTTTTCTCCCCCCTGGGTTGATGTGGCTAGAACTGAGGAGAAGAAAATCCTCTTCCCTTCTCCTCAGAAGATGGAAATTGCTCTCTGGTTCTACTGAAGTAGACCCCAGGACTAGACTTTTTTTTTTTCTTTAAAGCCCTAATGAAAGCTGAGCCAATTGCTTGCAGACTGAGAATGTGAGTTAGAGAAGGGCATCGCCCAGCATGGGGCTTGAACCCATGACCCTGAGATTAAGAGTCTCATGTTCTTCCAACTGAGTTAGCCAGGCTGTGTGCAAAAAGTGTCCTAATATCCCATCACAGCATAACAGGAGCCAAGTGTTCTCCACTGCCTGACTTAAGACTCTTTCTTGCCCCCAATGTGGGGTTCTGCTCTGTGAGGAGGTTCTGTGGGGAGGTTTGAGCTCAGACCCCACTCCCAACACACCCACTTCTT